TGGCAGACCCGACCACATTTTCACGCTTTTCAGCACACGTCTTTTATTCCAGTTGTCGTTTTACACAGACAGTTGCAGCTTTTCAGCTGCCAGCCACACAATAACAACACACTCAGGACCCCGTTTAATCCTTTTAAGCTGGCAAGGCGTGATTACTGATGCCGCTCAGGTATGTCCACCTCCCCCGCCAGCCGCGCCACAGCCCACACCCTGCCACACAGCCACTCTGTTAAAGATTTCCCGCTGTGCATGAGACCCTTGTCCTGTAGCATGATGTTGTTCGTTATAGCCAAACATCTCTACTTTGGTCGCATCTGTCCAAAGTTCAGTGTTCCAGAAGTCTTGTGGTTTGTTCATAGACGACTTTGCAAACTTAAGCTGTGCTGCCACATTCTTATTAAAGAGAAGAGGCCTTCTCCTGGAAACCCTTACAAATAAACCATCCTTCTTTAGTCCCTTTCCAATTGTGCTGTCACGAACTTTAACATTTAACATGCTAAATGAGGCGTGTAGAGTCTGAGATGTAGTTTAGCGTGGGGTGAATTTCCTGGGACGTCCACTACTCCTGGGTGGGAAGATTGTGGCATTATGTTAACACACCAGAATGCCCCAGACCAGCAAAAAGCCAAAGCTGTTTCACTGCTACTAAAGCTCAAATTATGGGCTAGCAGCGGTAGCATGTTGGTGGTCCAGTGGTACTGATACACTGTGGTCTACCTGCAGAGAATTTCATTAAACAGTGTCAACAGACGCAGAGTACAAAGTATGTTGTACAACCGGTCTGCGGGCCACTCTTACTTGTGCTGTTGGTGGTTGATCAGCCAGCCATGGAAAATAAAACTAATTCGTAACATACAAATGAAAACAAGTGTTAAAAACACGAAAGGTGTCCACTGCAGCCACAGTCTGTACTGTTCACACTGTATTTTTGATGTTTCATGGTTTTTGTTTTTTGCTTTTTCTTGCGTCTCGCGTTCCTGCTGAACTCAGGACTACACAAAGGCACATTCACTGTGGGTGAAAACTCCTCTCTATGGAAATCCTCATGCAAATGGATACATTGGCAGGACAGTATTTTAACCCAAATTGTGATGTTTTCTAGCCAAATACCAAATGTGACTTAAAGTAACCAGTGACTGAAAAGGAAACTTAAAAATGGTGATGATAAATATCTGAAGTCAGTTTTGAGGTGGAAACAATCCCGTGTCATTTCAGAAGCACTTGAAAAATGTTTGTTTCACTTCACTTACGAACGCAGATAAGATCATGTAGTTGGAGGACTGGTTAGAGACATTTCCATGAACTCAATCAAGAAAGTAAAACTTTATTTGTCAGGACACCAATCTGACACCATTCTTATGAATTCAATTAATGTTAGCGTTTATTAGCAAATGTCAAACACAAAGCCACAAACATTACTTGTATACTGTGATTTCTATGGGAGTAGTACTGGTTTTCTTGTATTGCATTACTGCCCTGTTGTGAAGTTCCTAAATCAACCCAAATCATCCATCCGTAATCATTTTCCAGAACGGGGTTGTGAGCAGGCTGGCGCCTTTCCAACTGTCCATGGCCAAGAGAAGGACAGGGTCACCCCGAACAGACTGCCAGTCAATCGTAGGGCCGACTCAATACAAAATAAGGCAAATTAAACATTTTCAAACCGAACTGAAAAATAAGGCTTTTAAACCAATAAAAACGAATGAAAAATAAATAATTTTACTTTAAGGTTTAACTTCAACATGGATGCATCCATGTTCACCTTTTAGAGGTTTGTTGGATGGACTTCAGATTCAAGCCCTGGAGGTCAGACTGAAGTTCATTTAGGTTAGGTTATGTGTGACATTTTGCTCTAGAAACCTTTTTAAACGGGTCGTGTGACGCTTGGCTTTTCTGTATTTTTGTTTGTTCAAATTTTAGTTACCAGGATTATAGGAAATGTTATAAGTGAATTTACATTGACGTTTTTCCAATTAAGAAATGGTGAAGTTTTAGAGTTTCCAGGAATTTTTGGAAGGTTTCTCTTCCATTGAGAGAGGGGGAAAGATACATGACAAATTTAGATAACAGAAATATAAGACATCATCTGGAAAACAAATCTCAGCCTCAAACATATGGAGAAGGTCTGGAGAGAGGTACAACAGTAAGTTTCTACAGCCGTCTGTAAAACTTGGTGGAGGCCAACGTTCTCACTCCCAAAGGGTAACATTTTACGCTAGGTGCAAAATCGTCACCATATTACGTTTTCGGCTACCCACCACGTTCCTAAATGACGACCTCGGAAAAGTGAGGAAATATGACAACCGTATGGACTCAATCTACACATGTTCGCTCTTTTTCTTTAAATCGCTGAGAAACACGCTATTTAACATCATTACGGTCCTGGTTAAGATCAGGAAAAAGGTTATGGTTAGGGCTAGGGATAAGGTTAGGTTTAGGGCTGGAATACAGGGCTGGAACGTCTGTTACCGCGGGAGCGTCATTGCACTGGATTCCAGCCATAACCCGCCGCGTACCATAAGAACGCCGAAGGTCTCCTTTCGCGTTCCTCAGGAACGCCGCGGGACGTGACAAAACGTCGGCATGTTACGCCTCGGGAGTGAGAACGGGCTGTGGAGGCTCTGTCATGGTTTTGGGCTGAAGACTAATTCCTGAAGACTACTTAAAGAAATGACAAAAGACTTCAATTCTACATTTTTCACAGGGTGTCTGTTTTCTTTAATATCTTCATATTTTGTTGGACATCAAAATCAATCAAGCCATAGGCTCATAGATTGTGAAACTCATTTTAGCCACATGGTCTTACATCTTAGCTGAGATGTTGCCTGCAAACTGGAACTTTTCTATTAGCTCCCGATCTATTTTCTTACCACTTATTCATCTCGGGGTGATTTATTTCACAATATTGGTGATTTAGAACAGGGCTCTCAGTTATCAGCTTACAGCACACGCTAAAGAATTTGCTTCAAAATGCCTCATCAATTAGCAACAACACAACCCATGGATGAATGAATCCTGTAGGTGTGGTATAGGCTGATCATGAAGCTATTGTTGCAGCGGCTCATCCTAAACTTCTGTAAGTGAATTAGTTAATTATACGTGACGCAAGAAAGGAGTGTGACAATGAAGGTGTAATCTGATTATGTGGTGACTTGGTGACCACAGCTATGCTCACAGCATGCTCACACATACTCAGAAACAAGCCTTTTGATTCATGTATCTAATATCTCTGAAATGATGAGCATCCTGCTGGGGCTGCTTTCGCTCTTTCCAGAGAGATTTCATTTGTGATGAAAGTTTGAAAACGCTGCTAGGGGAATAACATTGACAAGAACTGAACTACTCACCCGGGCCTTTGTCAGTGCTTTGAGCCCCAGCCATTAAGCTATGTACAGGACCCCGTGTTTTGCTGAAGATGAAAGCCAACACTCCAATATAGAACAGGTGACTCAGCTTCCAGCTTGGCAGAGAAATCCCCCGAGACCTTTGACCTCCTAATCGTTTAGCAGCGCTTATGGTTGGAGATCTGCTCCAGGCTATTAGAGAGATTAGTGTCACACAGATCTGGGGATGGGCCAAGCCTATATCTGTACTTCATGGTATTCTCAGCATTTATTACTGAACACCCAACCCATGCTGAAACCTGATATATGTAGGTATAGTAGCACATACTGCAAAGTGAGGCTATATGTAGCCTATGTGTGGCATGTGTTGACCTATATGAGTGCTGAGCTGTATAATGAGCATACTGTTGATTAGAAAAAGGACATTTTTTGTGTAGTTTAAACCTCAACAACACCACTGTAGATGGCTGTAGTATAAATAGTTTTTCTTTTAACATAAGGTGTATAAAATAAGTACACGCTGACTAATGATATGTAATATAGCATGCACAAATTAAAATTAATGCAAGTTATTGTAAAGACGTATAAATGTGTAACAAATTGGACATTTCTTATTTTGAAAGGATGTTTAAAGAAATGTGACCGCCCATCTTTTCATTATACGGCACGCACTGGAAAGCAAAGCTAACAGCCTTCCCGGACAAAAACAATCCCTAGCTCATAAAGCAGATCGTCAAGCTGGATAAAGTTAGCCAGATTGGCACCGGAAGTTGACAAGCAGTTCTTTCAGAATTAGGGCAACCCTCCCACCAAAAATGTCAAAAACATTCAAAATACTAAACTACGTTTGTTTATGTGATTCTACGTGGTGGTGGTGGTGGTGGCGATATTTTTTTCTTATTTATACAAAGGCCATTAATAATAATGAAGTCTGGACCTCAACATTATTGAAGCAATGTGGGATCATCCATAGTGTAGTGGTTTACAAATTCATCAAACATGCTAAATATCCCCGGTTCATTTGAGGGAAGAGACAGTAATCTCACAAATCCAGAGTCAAAATCTGCCAACTCAAAGACGTGGAGCTACCCACCGTGGCAACTCCTTGTGAATAAGGGAGCAGGCAAACGTAGCTCCTTGACAGAAAACAGAACAAAGGGCAGCCAACATCCAAAGAAGAGCTTTGAATGGTTTTCATAAAGCCTGGAAAACTATTCCCAAAAACTACTTCAAGAAATGACAAGAAATCTGCCTAAGAGAGTTCAAACTGTATTGAAACACAAAAATACATCTTAAATCATGCCATTTTGAAACATTTTGAGAACTCTGTTAATTTAGGGGGCAGATTTTATAAATAATAATGGAAACAGTCACTTAGTACTCAGGATTTAAATAAATGTTCGTACCAAAGCCTCTTTTTACAGAATTTATAAAATTCATTTAAAAAGGACGTCTAAACATCTACCTTAAAAAAGGATAGGTTTTCTCCTTCGGTTGCGTAGTTTTATTTTTTATTTCAGTAAACTAAAATTTCTCTTTACAACCGTTTTAGTTCGTTTACAAGCGTAAACGCTGTGGTTTTTATTTTGAAAACCCTCGCTGGAAGCTCGTTGTATGAGCTGGTTAAGCCTAACAGGGTGCCAGTGACGCCATCTTGAAATCGTCCCGAGCAGAGGGGGCGAGGAGGAGACGGACTTGGGAAAATCAGCTCGTCCTAAACTCGACAGCTACGTGGATTAACGGCAGCTTCAGCGGCTAGTGTTATCATATGATAGTCTTTCCGCTTGTTCGTTCGAATCTTTTGGACCGGGAACGGTTGTTTGGCCCACTTTGGAGAGGGCTGTCGCAGCGGGAGGGGGGGAAAGGCAGTCTGGTAATCGGTTGTTTCCCTGCTGGAGCGGACGGAGCCGTGGTTGTGGCCGGGCAGCCCAGCCGGACGAAGCCTAAAACCTCTGCACGGAATATAACACCTAAGATAAAGCTTTTAAATTGTTTTTTGCAAATAGCGGGAGAGTGGAAATGCTCCCTTTCGACGCAGTTTGGACATTTTGAGAGCTATGCGACGGAGCTCACCGAGGAGAAGTTTGATTGGAGAGCGGAGTGCGTTTGATTTGCAGTCCGATGGATGTTAGCCCTGCCCGGCTGTGGCTCGGGTCTATGCACCGTTTATCTGAAAAATAGCACCACCGGGCACAGGTGAACAATGCTGCTGTTGCAGACCTGGCAAGTACACGATAACCCCGGCTCCAGTGCCATCAGTTCACCCTGCATTGCTTGTGTATAAACCTGGAAATACCAGCGACCATCCCCTCCTCCTCCTCCTCCTCCTCTTCATCCTCCCGTCTTCTTTTTTTGGACTAGTGAGGCTTGCATTACCTGGGATGTTTTGGATGTAGACTCGATCTTGACTTTTTTTTTTTTTAAAGATGCAATATTTCCAGAGACAACAAGACATTTAATTTGACTCAATCGTTTTGAGATTTTTTTGAAAATTTTTCTGGAGCTTTTTGTGCTTTTGTAAAATTCTCTTTCTAGTCAAGAGGATCCGATTCGGATGGAAAATGGGAGACGCCACCAAATTGGCCTTCGCCGTTTTCCTCATCTCCTGCTCTTCAGGTGGGTGTGGAGGTGGGGGGCTATGTATGTTGCGTACGGTCAGCCGTGCAGTGCATAGCTTGCTTTTATGTGTAAGGAGTGTAACCTCTTTTGGGGCATCATTGGCGTGCATGCAAACTGCAGGTGAGCCCCAAGATTGAAGGAGGGGGGGGTCAGAGGGCCCTTGAGTGGCTTCTTGTGGGACACAAGGGTACAGATTGGAGTTTTTATGAAGTTAATGAGGGAGCAGCCAGGGATTTGGGTTGATGGAGTGCAAATAAAAGGTAATCAGTCATGTGGCTTGCATGTGGCTTCTTTCTACATCTACATGCTAAAAGCCATTTTCAGCACTCTGTGTTGGTGGACGGCCATTATATGTAGTTATTTCCCCGCGGTGGATGTTTAATGAATGTCAGTGTAGTGATGATAAAGGAAAGAGAGGTCATCTCGGGAGTGCAGGGCATGCTGTTTATGTGGGCTACTGGGAGAAATGCTTCAGACTTTACTTTTTTATTTGCCGGAGTATTCTGAGAGCAATTGTTCTTTAGGAAGAGAAGTTGATCACCTTGAAGTGTGTCATTTTAAATCTGCTCTTTGGGTTTGGTTTCATAGTACAAAATCCATTGAATTTTTTGTTGTTGTTTTTTTTAATGGAATGAGAATAATATAGTTTGCAACAAATATAAAAGAGGCGACAGACAAGCAATTATATAACGTAATAGATGATTAAAGGGTAAAAAGACGGAAAAATCACATGACTAAAAGCAAGGTTACAAAAACGTGTTTTTACAGGAAGTCACAGATTTTACGAGCCTTATCTGCTCAGGCAGGTTTTAGAAAGCCAAGGGCTCCTGATGGGAGAAGCACCTCCACTTCCTCAGGTGGGGCTCTTTCTAACAATGTGAAGTAGGCTATATAAGGGGTCAGAATTTCTGCTACTTGGCTTTAAGCATGAGTAGGAAAATCTAAAATGTACTTGGAGTCAGAGGATTGGGATGATGTGATGCCGTCTGTACCAGTAAGAAGCTTCGCTGCTGCGTTTTGAACTGTTTGGAGGTGAGAGAGTGGTGTTTCATTTGCAGTAATTTAGCCTGGACAAAGCACAAGAATGAACCTTTTTCCAGCTAATATTTTGTTTAATTTTAATAGTAGATGTTATTTGGAAGAAGCAGGAAAGGGTAACTTTTCTAGTTCAAAGGTTAGAGCTGAGTACCTTTCTGACTGCTGGCTTTAGGGTCCTAGGACACCTTCAGAGTGGTTTGTGTGATTTGTAGATCAGGGAAGAGCATGATGTATGATTTATTTATTTATTTATTTGATGCATTTAATTAAAGAGAAGTGTGTGTTTTAGGGATTTAAGGTATCTATTTAAAATCTATTTATCCTAGGGACAGCATATAAATAGGAACTATAACAGGACCCAAAATCGAACCTTGTGGTATGCCACAGATAATGCTCAATTAAAATGCTAAGTGGGGTCACAAAACTCCAGCTCTACGCTTGTTTTGATCCATCTCCAGCTAGAGCTGGGCGATATGAGATTTTTTCATATCACGATATGTTTTTTTCATTTCAGGCGATAACGATATCTATCACGATATAAGCCAAATAACTATATTTGTAAGATTTAAATGTGCCGTTGCTCACAAGTAAAATGTGAAATAATCAGCAGCTTGTTTTTATTTAAATATTTATTTCCCATAATAAGTTCAACGGGGTAGATGTACTTAAGGAACATGAGACTTTTTCAGATAAATAAAGGTAAATATTGCAAACTACACAAAAGGCAGCCGCTAAAGCGTTTAAGTTTCAAAATAGAACAAACGAAACAGACTAAATTGTCAATTCCACTTAGAAACAAAGTATTAATTCTAAAAATAAATCTTAGTTTGTTTTACAGAAGAACAGACAAAACTGACTAACTTTTGTCAATATCAAATAAACTGAGAACTAAAAGGAAATTCTCAATCTCTCCTTGTTGTATAGCTTAGCTTTTCAAACAGTTTTAACAGTTACTTTAGTCTGACAAAAGCCGAATGACGAATTAGCGCTTCCAGTCAGAGACTGAGGCTACGTCCACACGTACACGGGTATTTTTGAAAACGGAGATTTTCCGTTTTCGTTTAAAAAAAATAATCCCGTCCACACATAAAGGCAGAAATGAAGGAAAACGCTGCTATGAACATGCCAAAGCAGCAGGTGGCGCTAGATTCCTAACCGTGCAGAAATATTGGCCAATCAGAAGTCTAGAAGCCTCAGTGGGAAAAAGTAAACAAAGCTGGGGCATAGAAGCAGAACAGAGTCGTATGTGTGGAGGGACAGTAACTGTGTGTATATGTAAGCATTTAAACACTGCAGAGAGTAGAAGTAACAGTAACAGTCTTGTAGAAATTCATTTCACCGAAACAATAACGTGGTACACAGTGTGACGCATGCACCAGTTTATTGTATTTCCAGACTTGCTTTCGGCACAATTTACAGTGCACGCTACTCTATTTTTTGTCAGACTTGAAATAGCCGAAATACCTTCACACTACGGAACTTCTATGGCTCTTCCGTTCGACAATCTCTCCGGCATTGGAACCATCATCTGTTTTCTCTTCGGTCACGCTCGGTTGATTTTTCTAGTCGGCACACTCATTTCCTCCATTACGCGCTGGCTCCATTACCCGCTGGCTGCTTCCCAAACAAACACACGTGCGACTTGGCACTTGTGCTGTACGTAACAAGTCACGCGACGTGACGCTGCGGCTGTGATTGGTTCGGCTCTGCGCTACTTAATTTGGATTGGCTGACCTTTTTTTTTTTTTTGTTTGTTTTTTTAAGAGGACAAGAGCGGCGAGGTCTATCGCGATAGCTTAATTTCTCTATCGAGTAAAAGTTATATCGCGATACATATCGTTATCGTTCTATCGCCCAGCTCTATCTCCAGCATTTATCTTTTGCCTGGAGACCTTCTCCTCTTAATTTTGCAAGCAATTAAACCTCAATACTGGTGGAAATATACACATAAATATCTAGTCCTAAACCCCTCTAGCTGGGAATTCAAATATTTAAAAAGCGTGAACAGGTCTGTTTGCTTTCACTCCCAATGCTGTTGGCTTCTGGCTTCATATCATTACTCTGACATGGACTTTATTTAAAAAAAAAAAAAAAAAACAACTTTAAAAATGTTAAAAAGAATTTAGTGCTGCTGCCTGTCTTAGTTATTATAGAAGGACACTGTTTTTAATTTGAGTAATTTGTGTAAACATAAGTAGGTAATATGTATGCAACATAAATATTGCATACATATTAGGCTTATACATGCTATTATCATTGTGCTGATAATTTAAAAAGTAAATTATTGTTATTTTAGTTTTATAATTTGCAACAAAACATGACATAAGTACCAGTTATTAATAAATAAGTCACAGTAAAGGCATTGGATGTGGTCAAACGTAGTAAAGTATCTAATTTATGCTTAATAGACTGTCACTATCATTATAAACCTTCAAAAATGATTATTTTGATAGTAGAGGTTTGCAACCCCTGAAGAAACCAAGTGATCAAGTAAATCTAGAGTGAACAAGATTTTATAACTTTGTATAACTTGGCCTGGAGGAAGCATATAAATAGAAAATGAGATGATACCTAAAATTGAACCTTGCAGTTTACCACAGGTAATGTGAGCTGTAGACGATGAGTTAGTTTGACCAGAATCGGTTTATTCCAAAAGATTAGAGGAAACTCATACAAGCAAACACTTGTTTAGCACAATCCAGTCTCAAATGCTCCTGTTGGATCTAAAAAGAACTAAAATCATGATCTCCCCTGTGGTGTGCAATGATTTTTGACTTGTAAAAGCAAAATATTGAGTAGAAACCACTTTTTCTAAAGCTATAAACTGTACTGTAAGTCTTCATTGAACCACTTCCACCTCCCAAAATGAGCTAATATAGCCTCATATAAACCCTGTGACACTTCTGTGACCATGTGAAGTGTAAATACTTGTGGGGAAATTGACACAAGTGTCATAGTAGTTGAGGTTTTGGTGTTGCTAACAAAATAGCACTGCAGTGAGTTTAACTTCCATTTGCAGTTGTGTCACTCGATGTGGTTTGATTGTGGTGTGAGCCTGATGTAACTGGAGCTGACAAAAGAAAACAAAAATTAGGCCCAGAGGCAGAATTTCTATTCCTGTTGGCTTACAGGATAAACAGAAAATGTTCTAACTTTACTGTTTGTGCGTGTTTGTGCAGCTCCACCGAACCGGTTTTCTCTACAGTTGCTGCCGGTTTACCAAATACTCAGTGTACCTGTGTGAAAGCTGCCCCAATTAACACCTAAGAGAAGTGTAAAATAAACCCTCGAGTTGCAGCAGAATTGTACTTTCACAGAAATCACCCCCCACCCCCACCCCCCTGGGGCGTCTTAAATTAAAAGGTTTCTCAAATATGGTAATAGTCGGGGTTGGTTGGAGTTATAAGCCAGGTGCTGCAGGTGATTATTCCACTCACTTATTACTGTCTGAAGTGGGGAAATGAACTAGGTGGAATAATAATCCTCAGTGAAATCGGAGTTGAATTGGCACAGCTCAAGAAAAACCTCTGATAAAGGCAGGGCACTTGGCCCAGAGTGGCTTTTATTTGATGAACATGCCAAAAGAAATGAACAGAGAGAGGTCTCTGTAGCTTTTCAGTGATGTTCAATATGCACCTTTAACCAGCTTCAATTCACTGTGAGATGAAACTGAGAGAAGCAGCTTAAATATTTATCAGAAACTTATTTGGCAGTAGGGGAAACAATCAACTAGTCTGCTCACATAGCCTCTGAAGACAGCCACCATTATTTCAGGACTTCAAGTGTGGACATCCCGTTCTGCCCGCGGGCCATTTAAAAACCCAAATCAACGTCTGACGATAAGGGATGGTTTTGATGTTGCAGTTTTGGGAAATATAATTTGTGGACTCAGCTGAGGCATGTTTGATGAGTAGAGGTCCAAACTGTAGCTGCCTGGTTATGGCAAACAGTCAAAATCC